ATAAGTAATGGTAGAAAGGAATATGAAGGTTAAAGAGACTGAATACATCTGCGCCATTGACAACGATTTTGAGCCATGTCACCTATTGTCTCCAGCCATTGATTCTTAGAGTCCCGAGGGCCCCAACCCGGAAGTCTGCATCTCCCTACCTGACTCAGTTTAACTGTCAAGGATTTCATGGACTGATGCCATGTTTTTGTTTGGCCACCACTTACTCTTTTCCAACCAGCACCTATATCAGCTAGTAATGCCCGTCGGGGGAGGCGATGGTTAGGCATACACAGCACGTGACCTAACCATCTCAATCTATGTAATTTTATAGCCTCTTCGAGTGATTTTCCCTCTCTGCCCAACACTCTACGCCTAACGTCAACATTACTTACCTTATTATACCACCTAACGTGAGAAAGAGATCGTAGACATCTATGATCAAAAACAGACAATCTCTTCATGTCTTCCGCTCTCAATGGCCACGTCTCACTACCATAGAGAAGGACGGAGCGAACTGATGAACAGTATACACGTCCCTTGATTGATAGCCGAATGTCACGCCTACGCCAGAGATGGTGTAAGTTAGCGAAAGCAGCCCGAGCTTTCTGGATCCGTGCTGTGATTTCGTCACCAACCCATGCTAGGTGGATATGGCTAATGTTATCACTTAATTCAGGTCCGGCCTGTTAAAGATGTCCCAAATTATCCTCGAATGGTCACTTAACTTGCTGGGGGATTATCAATTTTCATCAAAAAAGACCATGTGCTGTAAGTCCACTAAAGAAACTTGTACAAAGGAGACTATGCTCCACATAAGCATGTATAAAAAAGTTGAGTGAAGGCACAGCATCTTAAGTTGACACTATTTGACCATTTGATAAATGAACATAAGCTCACATATGATTACGGTAGTGTAAATGTCAAGTATACCTTTCAATATTGTAAGATACCAACGTAAGACCACTCTATACACTGTCACCTACAGGTTAAGAAATATTTCAAAAATGGTTGGCAAATATACCCACAGCAAGTTTTGATATGTGTGTCTTTTTTCCTCATGCTTTCTTCTTGCGCTAGCTGATGACCACACTAAGTCCTGTACACTTATCAAGGAAATGACTTTCTTCCTTGCTTCAAGACTGGATTAACCATTGGTGAAAACCAATCAAAGAAAGCTATATCATGGCTAAGATCTCAATGAGTTCAAGCGAGTTACTTAAATTTTGACCCACTAGGAATTGCTTTCCCCTGTTGTTCCGGTTTAGTCGACTTTCACAATTAAGGCAAAGGCTGAGAGTACTGTACCACTGTCCTTATTGGACTACATTAATAGATAGTTAACAACGGAAAAGTATTTGAAAATCAGTTCAATTCTTATTCTTCAGTATTAATCCTATAGAAATATTTAGTCCATCCTTCCACCTTCTTCGGATGGTATCATCTTTTATTCCTGTTTCTGTATTACGTATGACCAATTTATCTGTTAAAATCTAGACTTGTTATCTTCACCATCCCTCTAGTTTGTATTTTCCATTCTCTGTTCATTGGTTACCAGAATTTCACCTATTGGATCACAGGTTTAAGCTTTGCTCTTCAAAATAGGTAGGCTTTACGGTACTATATGCGTCGGTGGCACAGTGGTAGAATGCTCACCGACCACGCATGTGGTCCGGGGTTCGACCTCCGGCCGACGCACTCCTTTACCTTGCTATAGCAGTAATGAGGCCGGTAAAGAGGGGAGGTTGGGCATAATGAGACTAGCGACCCACCACTGCTACCGAAAATTTAAGCCTCTAGCTTCAAGGCCTGTGTTCCAGCACTGGGAACGTAAAGGAATAAAAGCAAACAAAGTAACCAAACATCAATGTGGTTGATACTCGATAACTTGTCTGTTTGTCTATTCTCTTTTGAAGCAACATGCCTTATCTCAACACGGATTTGAAGATCATCAAACGAAACACAAACATGCATCTATTTACTATGCATATTCACTGTTGATTGTGGATATGAATCCTACTATCGTGATAAAACTATGTGAAACATTTTTCTTAATATCTGCGTTAAAAAATTCTAATTAGTTTCAGTCAAAGAAAATATCTTGGTTATTTTAACCTTTTTCTAGGTGAATCACCTGAATTAACCGGTCGTGTGATATCGCAGCTGGCTTCAGAACCGTCGAAGAAACTACTCTCTCGGTCAGGTCAAGTAATGAACGTTTGTGATTTGGCCGAAGAGTTTGGCATAAAGGAGGATGATGGTCGTGCAATCACCAATCTACGGTCCATTAAATTTCTCCTTTCACATTCTGGCTTTTCTATAGCTAAATTCATTCCCAGTTTTATTAAAGTTCCAGAATGGTTATTCGACATAATATTGAAGTACAAATAAGAAAAGTTTTACTGCCTTTTTTCTCTCTTATCTTGAAACTTTTTTTGTTTTTGTTTTTTATACTGTTACCAGACTCAGTGATTTTTTTTTATTATAATCATTTCAGTAAAATTATCAACTCGACGAAAAACTTTTTTTGATTTGAATATCCTGCTTTTTGATTTTTCTGGGAAAATAATTAATTCAGTTTAAAATTTTATTTTATGGCTTAAATATGTACATGTATCAGTTTTTCATTCTGAAGCCATTGAAAGAGTTCTACTGATGGAAAAATGGGCAGGACTATGGAGTGTGTAGATGACGATTTCATGACTTGATTTTAACAGCGTCAGCCTTCGTTATACGGTTTTGGTCTGCCTGAAATCTATAGACGGAAAAGTGTAATACTCTTTCTTCACTTTTCAACAGTGAAGATATTTACTTGGTTCACTACGGATAAGATTTGATAAATCACACAGTGTTGTACAGTAATAACACTGTGTGATTTATCGAAATAAAATCTTATATATAATAGAGTTATACTCTACCACAGTGCCCAAGTTTTATACTAATTTATCAATAATATTTATTTGATACCGAGATATATTACTATATGACCGTAGAAGCATACGGAATCCCTTATAGGACTATAAATGGTGAACCTGTGTTGAGTAATTTGAACGGTACTGTAGAATACTGTTGGTAGGCTGTCTATGCCCCATACTTGATCTCACATCTGCATGATGTCAAACGTGAGTCAAAAGCGTAAATCGGTCTTCAGACTATTATTATTATTGTTTCCTTTAGTTCCTCGAGGAACAAATGGCTTCAGCCACACGTCTTCATTGCGTTCGATTCTCCTCCAGCGTTTTCACCTGGCTTCACGTCTGCCCACATGCTTTCATCTCCTCTTCACATAACCTCCTCCATCTCACACTCGCCGCTTCCCATTCAGGTTCCACTTGAGCGATGGCCTGGCGTGTGATGTCACTCACTTGATGGTCTTCTCAGAGTATGGCGAATCCACTTCCATTTCTTCCTCCATATTTGTCGCATAATCGCTTCCTACGGAGTTGGTTCGTGCATTGCCAGAGATCCCAGCCTGTTGCTGGTCTTTCCTGGCCGATCATCTGATCTTGAGCAGTATTCAGCGGAGACAGGTGTTGATGAAGGCCTGTAGTTTGTTCGAAGTGGCCTTCGTGACACAGCGCTAAGTCTCTGATCCGTATGTTAAGTAGCACTGACTTCACATTGTAGTTCAGAGTCCGGATCTAATTTTTCATGCTGAGTGCTGTTGACTACCACACAAACTTGAGAGTAATGGAAGCTAGCCTTGCTTTCCCGATGTTCCTCGCTTTGACATCCTCATCAGTTTCGCCCGCCTGTAGTTGAAGCAATACTTACCAGGTAGTTAAAGGAGGCTGCTTCTTTCAGGTTTCTCCCATTTATACTGATTGTTGTCTGTTGTTGGTGTTGCTGTTGGGCAGGAATCTTCATCATCTCTGTTTTCTCTATATTCACCTGAAGTACTGTCTTCTCTGGATGCTTGTTCTGCCAACTTGTTTCCTTTCACTTACATATCTTCCAGTTTGTGGGAAATCAGACATATATCATCGGCGAAGTCCAGATCCTCCAAGTTCTTTTTGTGTGGGTCCATTTTATGCCTCTTTCCTCGTTGCTCGCTAACTGTCTGTCGCATTATCCAGTCTACCGCAATCAGGAAAACTATTGGAGATAGTAGGCAGCCAACCAGCTTGTCTTTCCCCCGTCTTCACTTTGAAGGATTCCCTGAGTTTCCCGTTGTGGATTACTTGGCATGCAGCATTGTCTTACAGCTGTTGGATGAGTTGTATAATTGTTGGCGAAGTAGTTTACAGATCACCACCTCGACCGACGCCGTTGAAGGTTTCTTCAAAGTTGAGGTAGAGGGCTGACTGCCATTCCAAGCTCTGTACAATGATAATCCACAGTGTTGTAGTGTGTAAAATTCTACTATACGGCCTCTATATCAGCTGACTGGAAACGTGGGCATTTGTAATGAAATGTTGTAGGCGTCGACTAGTTGAAGTAATTAGCTTTGAATTTATTAATGGCAGCAAGTTAATCGATTAGGTTGGCTTGTTTTGAGTTTACTTATTTGAAATCAGTGTATATTAGCAGCTGTTTTCTCGATTTACCGTTTTTTATAGGTAGGCTGTCCAAATTATTTGATTAATTTAAGCACTTCAAAATGTCGACCTGAATTATTTACTAATAGAAACGAAAGAAGATATTGAAAGATTGTATATCACACAGAAGGTAATCCGCCACTACTTGAGCTGACTGTTGCGGTCGGTTTTCGCATCTTTCCATAAAACGACAATGATTGAAGTTTTTCAGATTTCCAAAAGTCACTTTAATGGTGAATAAGTTAGGTGCCAGTGCCGTATAATGAACAAGTTATTCAGTCTTATTTCTTGTGAAACTTTAAGAAAAATCTAGGACAGGAATCAATTTTTATTGTTTATGGGTTATTTGACTTCCCTTGATGAGATAAAAGTACTTGAGAAAGGGGTTATTTTAGTGTTGAGTCATCGAAAGATTGACAGATCTAAGTGAATGCGTCCGTCTTCTCATGGGAGCAACTCATGATATCGTGAAAGGTGTGGCGGTGGCTTAGGAGAACTGTGAAACGATAGTTTATATTACTGGTCGAACGTTAAAGACTCCCAATAACGGTGTTTGGAGTGGGGTTAATTTATGTGGAACTGCGAATGATATCAATAAATATGATGGTGTGTGTTAATATCGCTTACGTTTACCTCACTCTTACGTCGACTGATATGGAACTTGGTATAACAGTGCAACGATTCAAGGTACGACAATGCATACAGGTAAAGAAAGAAAAATGCAACAAATTACAGTGAATTGAAGTGTTCATGAGACAGATTTAGCACACGCCGTGTGATAAGAATTTAATGGAGGGAGGGAGAGTGAATACACCTGAAAAACAGAGCGATTCTGAGCCGTGTCTCAAACATGCTAAAGCCATTGACTGTTAGCATATCGAGGACCCCACCCAGACAGTCTACACCTGCCTACATGGTGTTCAAAGTAAGTCAGAGACTTCATGGATTGATACCGTATCCACTCTTAATTCCTTCTTAGCTAAACATATGTCAGCAAACATTGATCGACTACGAAAGTGATGGAGAGCTCGTCATACGTAAGAGGTGTCTTAACTATCTCAGTCTATGTAGAGTTTCACGGCCTTATACATTGTCCTACCTGATACTATGCCTAACCTAGATATCACTCACTATATTATACCACTTAAGATACGATGTAGAACTCAAACACTTATGGTCAAAGACATCTAACCAGCCTCTTTATATCTCCCACTTTCAATGGCCATGTCCCCCCAGTCACAAAAAGGGAGAGGGCGAAATGCTGCTATTTGCACACGTCTTTTTTTCGGTAGCCGGAGGTGATGTAGGTTGGCGAGAGCCATAGGAGCCTTTTCTTTGAGCGGTGAGATTTCTTTAGCAGTCAGTTCGTGAGGGTTGACGCAACTTCCCAAATTAGTGAAGTGGTCAAAATACTCGATCGCCCCATTCTTTATGTTTACACTAGGCCTAAATTCAGACCAATCTTGCAATATAATCTTACATTTGACAGGGTCCAATCGCACGCCAAACATACTAATATTTCCGATCAAGGTGTTCAGAAAACTGAATGTTTGCACCTAGGACTATATCATCTGCTTACTCAAAGTCAACGAGACGGTAACAAGCCAATCCCTAGGTCTCTAAAGTTGATTCTCTGGTACATCTGTGGTGAATTGGACCAAAGTAGAGACGCTGGGCACTCCTAACGGTTAGCTTTGGTTGTCATCACGTTACAGTCTCCTATACTAAGCTTAGGCGCCGTTTTCCCGTGAAACTGTAGCGCTTATCATTTATCTTTTACAACCAGTTTCCCTAATAAGGCTACATAATTGTCTGGTGTTGCCTATCACTGATGAGTTTCCTATTTCTTCAACTTTTGTAGCCAAATACTGTTTACTATTGTTGACGATAGTTTTGGTCAGCTTGCGTTTTAGCAGCTTTCTCTTATTATGTTCGCAGTCTGCTGGAATTAGTCCTCTCGCATCTATCACTTAGGATGAGCTGGCAGAAATTCACTAATATTCAATAACTATCGCTTTTAGATTATCGGCAAACTTTCTGTAGCTGACTGGGTATTATGCCAGGCTTCATAAAAATGATTCTTGCTATTTCTTCCCTAAATAAAGAGTGTGTTCTCATCACGCTAGGGGCACAACGGCTTCACAAGTGGCTGTTTTCTATGTCCGTTCTTTCGTAGGGATATATGTACACTGACTAAAGAGTGATTGCAATCTATACAGGTGTTATAGAAGCACCGACTCCCTACAGGTTTTACAACTATGTGATGTATTTATGTCTATCGTCGATTTAGCGTTGGGGTTCGCCAGGTGAGGTAATTTCTCTTCTTATGTCTTAAGATAGTGCTGATCGGCAACAGGACTGTAGAAGATGGTCAGCGTTGTAGGTTCGTCGGCATGAAGATCCATAGGTACTGCTAATGTACTTTCCTGCCTGTCACAACTTCCCTATTTCAGCGTTGGATTCAGCTACCAAAATTACTATACCTGAGCGTTTTGCCTTCAGCAACAATAGACAGCTACTGATAGGACTCGACCTTTAATTCAATCGGCCCGTTTTGGAGCAGGCAGAGTTAACGAGAAGACTTCGACGGTTGTCAGAATATATTTTTATTACAGATTTGGATAGCACACATTCACCTACGTGCAAAGATACAATCAAGTAGCATTTTTTCTGCTCTGTTTCTCAACGCTATTCCTAAAGAAGGAATTCCTTACAAACTAGTCGAATCTCTTGACACCTGCAAGGGGAATTTTGCAGATTGATCATGTTAGCAAGGTGGGGTTCGGCGAATAACCAGACTCGGTTCTTGTACGTCTGTGTCCGAAGCATAACATAAATTCGTAACTGGAGATGCCAAAGCTCTGGCTAGTGAGTCCTATTTGACAAAGTGTCCAATATCTAAATAAGTGCGTCGTTTTAGTAGACTGTCCTTAGTGTTTTTCCGACTCTTGTCGCCATTAAAGAATGCAGAGTTAAGAAGAGGTGAAGGTCCTTCCTATAGAAAAGTTTTAGTAGAGAGAGGAAAGCAAAAAGATGAAGTTGAAGGGATATGATGAAAGCCTTTTGGGAGTATGCTGACAGCTGTTCGGAAAGTGGAAGTTGACCACTTGAATCCACTGTAACAGAAAGAGCTTTAGTGATGCGTAACCGCAGAGCCTGGGGAGAATTGCTTGAAGCCGATCTCATGATGTTTGTTTAAAGTGTTGTGTCCGTATGAGGATCTTACCACCGCAAGTTAAGTCAGGATAATTTTGAGGCTGACCTAAAACCTTCGCTCTCCTGACCTTTCTATCATGAAACGTTTGTTACTGCTTGTGGGACATCGCGATATGCTAGTCCTATGACTATGTCAGCGTAGCAGCAATTGAACAGGTTACTCTTACCTGACTTTCAAATGAGTTTGACTTAATTATATAGCGTCGATATATCAGATGTCTAATAAACGACAGTTATGATGCCCTATGATCCTAGAAAATCCTATGGAATTGCAATTATGAGAAATACAACTACAAATAGCTTGAACATAGCAAAAGTCCGGAAAAAGGGCCATATGGTTTTTTCCGTTGCTACATAAGGTGTAATCATTTCTGGGGATTTCGGGGCTTGAATATTTTTTCGTAGTCATTTAAAATAAAGCTAACGATTTCATATTACAGTTGAATAATGTTCATTACTAACTCCGGGTAAGAAAATAGTTATTTCTAGGCAAAGCTGTCTCAGTTCCAGCTGTGGATTGGTTTCGTCCAGGTGAGACACGCACCTAGTCTCCATGTGTTCATTAATTCGAAGCTAATTTGACATTGAGGTGAATTAGTGTCAAAGGATTCTATGCTTAGTTATCATAAATCTGCAGATGTACAGATTATACGAGCATTTTTGTGTGAGCAAAGAGAAATATTATTGAAACGAATGACAGTTCGGTAGTATCCCTTAAGAACAGCTGACTACTAGAAACACAAAGTCATGTAGACGTTCTATGATGGAGAAGTGAAACTGTAATCAAAGCACTAGAATACAGTTTATGTTAAATAAAGTTGTATTTTACTTACCTACCATCAAGTTGCATAGTGAATGGATGCATCCATTCCCCAGACTTCACTGTCTAGCTTAGATGCACTGTCCAGGTACTTATGAAGGGGTGAGTTCACTTTGCAGTTGTATTCTGTGTTCTACTGAATGGCTGTTAAATGTGTCTGATAAAAAATTGAAGGTTTCAAGTTTTACATCATTGGTGCTTTCAACAAGACTTGTGATGGAATGATGTAGTGACTATTATTTTGGTGTGCTAAATCGGTCAGGGGAGTTATGAATCTCAATAGGTTGAGGTTGCTGAAACCTGCGGTATACCTGGTATACCCGACCGATAGCTGCTACCTTGACGTGGTAGTCGGGCTTGCACATTGCAATGACCCAACGAGCTACACTGGCTGGAACTTATGTTCCTGTAGGTCCTACTATGCCATAAAGGTTGTTTGGATAGCGGTTAGACAAAAAGCAGCTACCCAATCCAATACTACGATTCAAACAAACTCACAAAATATCATGCCGGATCGGTCAGGGCCCGGATTAACAACGACGGCGCTTCCTGCTGCTGTGTCGAAGGGCAGAAGTGATAAATATGCTACTGAGACACCAAACAAGAAAGAACAAACAAAAACAGGCCGTGTGTGACCGGCCTCAAGCAGTTGTTCCCTGGGCTCTGCGGTCACGCAGCGCTAACCTTTTCTCTCTCCCCTTCTCAGGCGTGAGGCTAGCAACCCCACCTTGTAAACAAAAGACAGAGAAACAGGAGCTGCAGATAGACCACAAGCCAAGTTCAACACTCAAAAACTGAAGGACCAGGACACAAAGGACATCTTCACTGCAAGCATAAAGGACAAAGCCGAGACACAAATCAACACTAGCGAAGAGGTCAGCGTCGAAAAGCACTGGAACAACTTGAAAACAGTGTGGAGTCAAACCTGCATGGAAGTTCTAGGCAGGAAGAAGAGACAAGACAAACAGTGACCCACTACGGACACTTGGAGACTGATAGAAGAGAGAGGGATGGTGAAACAAAAGATTCTCCAGTGCACCGACGAGCAACAAAAACAGGATTTGAATGCAAGCTACAAGACACTGAACAAAAGAGTGGCAGGGAAGACAAAAGAAAATATTATGAAGCTATGGCAAGTGAAGCAGAACAAGCTGCAGGCAACAATCTACCAAACAACTAGGTACCTATCGAGCAAACGTTTGACACAAATCAAGCCGGTGAAGGATGACAATGGAAAGTCACTCAACAAAGAAGTGGAGCAAAGGAAACACTGGGCTGAACACTTTAAAAGACTACTAAATCGACCACCACCTACAACGCGCCCAACAATACCAACAACGGAGACAGAGCTACCAGTGAACATCAACCCCCCGACAAAATCAGAAGTCCTGAAGGCAATCAAGATTCTGAAAGCTGGAAAAACAGCAGGACCAGATGGAATCCCAG